CGAGCGTGACCTGGTTGCGCGCGCCCCTGTCTGTGCACTCGCCCGTGTTGGCGCCCAGGGCACCCTCGCCTGCTTCAGGGAACGCGTCACGCGGAGCAGACCCGCAGCGGCTGCGGGGGTGGGGCGCGCGCGTGTGCCTGTGTGTGCGCGCGCCCGCGTGTGTGTGCGCGCGCGCGTGTGTGCGTGCGTGTGTGTGCGCGTGATCTCCGGGACGACCCCACAGGTATTCCGGCGGCGCGTGTGCAGAGCTTGGTTTGTAATGCGCACGGAGAGGCACTTCCTGGTTTGTGGGCCGTCGCCTGTTGAATGCCAAGCATGGAATCTCGCGGCCGAAGTAGGCGACCCGGAGGACTCTTAAGTGATCAAAGCGGGTGTCTGCCTGCCCCTGAGGACAGCAAACAGAAGCCGGCGGGGAAGCCCTTCATCCGCCAGAGCAAGTCTCTGGGTTTGGGTTTTTGTTGGGAATGCATTAAAAAAAAAATTATTCTGACGCTTGTCGAAGTGGAAAGGAAGACTTTATTTGTGGTTATTGAGCTAGAGATCAAGCCCATGGAAATAGGGAAGGGATACTGCACTCCACTGGGTGCAGTGAAAGGGGTGGGGGTTGCAGCCCAGAACAGCGAGGGGGTCCGCGGTGGGGATTTGCTAAGAGGAGAGGGCAGGGGTTCCTGCCAGACTTCAGTGCCTGTGGGAAAGATCTCTGAGCAGGTTTTTGCGGCCATCTGATGAGTAAAATACAGAACGACAAACACGTCTTTGAAGCGAGCTGTGGCAGACGGCCTGAGACCAGAGAAAGTCTGATCGATGGATGGAGAACGTTACTGACCGTGGGAGACAGGAGGCGTGGGAATGTTTTGTCTTCACGACCAGCTCTTCCGGCGTGTAGAGTCCACGCTTTAGAGCCGGGCTGACGTCTTCGCTCCTTGATTGACATTCCCATCTCATCTTCCGAGGACATGGTGGATTGAGATGGAAAGTGAGGGGGTGTCAGGAAGGATAGAGGGGTGTTTTTGGCAACTCACCTTCTCACAGAAAGTATTCAGGCGGGCTGTGAGGGCACCGCAGAGGGATGTCATGGTGGGGTCATAGTCTCAGAGCCCTGATGTTCTCACGAAGCTTTGCTTAGCTTTCCCTCGGGAAGCGTCCAGACAATGGCAACCCGCCTGAGCCCTTGGCTTTGAACCCACAGCCCCACGACCTCGGTTATGGCCGCGGGGGCCACCTTTGCATACGTCCGTCATTGCCAACGAGACCTACTAATGAGGACCGGGCGCTGGAGCGGGCACTGTGCTCTGCAGACACCCGTGGGCCGATCAGACGCTGCCCCGGCCTCCCCTCGGCCCTGCCAACTGGGGTGCCGTTCTCGGTGAGCTCCATTCTCGGTCTGGGGGCGGGGTGGGGGATGGCGGCACTGAAGCTATCCGTCAGGCTGCACGTGGCTTTGGCATCCAGTGGGATGGATTTCTGCTGGTGGGTGGTTAACACAGGAGCAGAACACATAAGGATTGTGCTGGACACACAATCTTTAATGGTGCTAAAGGTCTGACTCCTTCTTTCCTCCCCTTGAGTTACTGCAGTAGACAAGCCACAGGAGTTTTAAAAAGGCCACGTCCCACGGACTAGTCGTAGCGAACAGGAGTATCCTCTGGTGGGCATCCATTTCTGACTTTAGGCAGAGGCTCCATGCCCACGGCTCAGCCCAGCTCCTGGCCCCCTACTCCCCGTTGCTCGGGCTGTGGGGGACTGAATTACTGGTCCTGAGCCCTCGCGTCCCGCGGTGGTGCCCCGCTGTGAGCGCGGGCCGTGCCCAGGGCCCACGTGTGCCGCGTGCTTCAATGCCCCTTCGCTCCGCCGGGCCATGGACGTGCTTCGGCCCATGGAATGTGGGCAGAAGTGACTCCGCTTGAGCACAGATCATAAAAGGTCTCACACGTTTCCATCTGCTCCTGTGGGAGCCACGACGAAAACGTGCCCATGGAGTCACTGCGCCCTGGCCTGGGCTGCAGAGCGAGACGTGGGCTATGCAGCCATCCGTGAAATGAGAAGAGATCGTTGTTGTTTTAAGCTGCTGAGTTCCAGCGTGGCTGGTTATGTGGTGTTTTTTATGGCGACAGCTAATTGAGACGGTGACAACAGGCAGCCTTGGACTGTAGGCTCCCGACACTGGCCCCCCCGGTGGTGCGCTGAAGCATGGGAAAGAATCGCTGTTTCGTGGTGAACATCCTCAGACATGGGACAGAGCAACCCTAGACCGGGGCAGGGGAGGAGGGAGGACCAATGGGAGGTGACATGCCACTGCTGGCGGTATCTTGCTCTTCCCGAGGATGCCGGCACTTCAGAAGAAGATGAAGACGTGACTTCAACTATGGATATTTCCCAGTAAAGCCTCAAGATATTCCTGGGAGATCTTGATAAAATGTTAAGAGAAACCCCCTTCTGGACAGTTCTTGGAAGGACCTAGAAGGTTCCTGGAGAGGAGGCGCATGGTGAGAGCACCTCAGAGGGTTAAGGGTCCCCTAGAAGTGACCTTGTTTATCCAGAAAAAGAGGAAAGATAGTTCTAATATCAGGTGTAGCACTAGCTACAGGAACAAACAGACCCCCCCAAAAGCATAAAAGCTCTAACGGTTGAAATTTATTCTTCACTCACGTAACAGTCCTTTGTGGGCGTTCCTGGTCCACGGGAGACTCTCCTCCACGCTGTGATTTGGGGACCCAGGTTCCTTCCATCTTGTGGCTCTGCCACAGTCTCCGGCCTGTGGTTTTCTTCATTCGCCAGAGTGAAGGGGAAAGAGACGATGTTGAGGGCACACCCTCTTCACGCCCTCAAGTAACACATCTCTTTTGCTTGCGTGCCACGGGTCAGGGGAAGTCACACGGTGACATTTGCATGAGAAGGGGCAGGGGGGCATAGCGAGACTGTGCCCTTCCCAGTGACAGCTCCATGCACTGGCAGGGGGAGCCTGCGTCTTTGTCTCTGACACAGGATGCTTCTCCTTGCCACACTTTGATAGTGCCATGTGTTTCAGGCACACGCGACGTGACAAGTTAGGAGGCGAGGGGGTACACGCGAAGTCGGACCTTCAGACATGTGAATGATCAGTGTATGATGCGGACTCTGAATGTGAACACTTATTTTGAGGTGAGCGCCGTGTACGGTCACGCTGGGGAACCCGCGCGAGCACTGGTTTGCCTCACCTAGCAACCAGATCCAGCTGTTTGAGATCCCACGGGGATGGTGGCTTGGCTGGCGGAGGTCCCCCATAGGAGGACGGCGGGGCCTGAGGCTGTTCCCCAGAGACTAGAGCCGTGTTCCCAGTTCTGTCAACAAGTGTGTAAGAGACTACCGGAGCGAAAGGAAGATGGAAAAATGAGGAACGAACAAACAAAACGTCGCCTGGAGCAGGGGGAGCCCTCGGCTGTGTCCCTCATCCGCCCTGCAGGGCCGCCCTCCATAGTGACATCAGTGGCCCAAACTCACATGGGCTTCACCCCCTCAGACCGCTTTCGCCCCCGTGGTCTCATCGGAGCCGGCAAACCCTGCGGAACTGGCAGGGCGCGTGTCGTTCTCGCTGCCTCGCACGTGAGCCGGCTGAGGCTCAGGTGGGCGAAGGGCGTCTTCCACCGCAGCAGCAGGTGCGGCGAGGCGTCCGGTCTGGAGCGCAGCCTCACGCACGCACCCCGCTGCTGGGCACCTGCGGCCCCCTGCTGCCCGCGTGCAGCCCCTGCTCCCCGCACCAGCCCAGGGACCAGGCGCCTTTCTCTCTGGAGCGCCCAGCTGTTCTCTCTACCTCCTCCTCCCGCCACCCCGACTCCTTAAAGAGCATGTTTGAGGAAGGTGTTATCGAAACTGGAAGAAAGGTGGCAGCACAACTCGTCGGCCACCTGCCTCGCAGAGAGAGGGCGGCCGACGGCTGAGGGCGCCCTCTGCTGGCCGTTCCGGGTAAGGCAGGGGCTCCGAACAAAGGCCGGGTGACCCAGGGAAAGGCCATGTCCCTAAATTACTCCCGGAAACCGATACTCTGGTGGAATGGCAGTAATAGGCCAGGAAGCAAGCTCCGAAAGAATTCGTCTTCCCTACTTGGTATTTGTGGCATCACCAGGGATGAGGCCTCCTCCAGCCTTCCTCAAAAATAAAATACTGTGAGAAATTCGGAAATTCACAGTATCATTAGAAATAACGAGAATCGTATTTGTAAAACTATATATTATTCGTATCACAACGAGCCTGGGCTTCGGAATCAGACATTTCGAGAATCTAATCCCAACTCTTGTGTCGATCACTGTTTTGACTTTGGGGAAAT